TCGTCTAAGGCGACCATTGGGTTGCGACGGACCGTGGAAAAGCTGTGGTCAGTTTCTTAGTGTTCGCCGTCTCCCTTTGGGTTACGGTGGAGGATGGTGCTGGCTATACTCCAACTTGCTGGAAGATAACATGGATAAACTTTGCACACTCTCCTCTGAAGCGGGTTTCTGAGGTTATGCCAATTTTCAAAGTGAAGGAATAAGGGGAAGGGTTTGAAGAGTTGTCAGAATCTTTGCCGTTGGACACATTTGTGTCGTTTTATGATGGGAGAGGTGGAAAGAGGGGTACATCGTCGACAACTCGACTGGCACTCTTGTAGTGCCTTCGAACCCAAAGATCGGGAAGTTCCTTTGTGAGAATATCCCAGAGAAGTGTGCATAACTTGTGCCAGTGTTGCAAATAATCAGATTGTGCTTTCCTTGCTGACGTTGCTGTTCGATACGTGAGTCACTTCGAACCAATATCCATTACAGGTCTGCATGCAGACGAACGAGTGTACTAACAGACAACTAAACCTTTCTTCCCATTTGCAAGAGGTCAGTAGAGTGGTTATATTCGACTGTCCTAGCCATGCTGTTTGTAAGGATTTTTTTGTTGGCTCAGGCATGGCATTTGCTTATGAGATGGACGGTGTTGCCTGAGCCTCCAGGCTACCATAAGAAGACGCTTTAGTCAAGCAGCCACGCAGCATCATCTGAAGCTGTCCATGTGGTAGGTGGGATAGGGGGTGAGAGGGAAGTGTTTCTTAGCCAACGAAAGGAGCACCAGCAGCAAAAGTGACATCCTTCAGACAAATCATCGGGAGGCGTCTGGATGATGTGCAGTCCTGTTGTTGCTCAGTGAAAGTGACATTTCTTCCTTTTTTCGCTATTTACTTTTTTATAGACTTCGCCTACCCAATTGGTTGAAGAGAGAGATCCCGCATGGCAAGATGATATCGGAAATGGCAGATAACCTTCGAGGTCTGAAATTGCATACGGTAAGGGAGGTGTGAAAGTGTCAAACTTATTTTTGGTCTAGATGTATATTGTGTGGTCCAGAGAAGGTGGCTTGCCTCTCTGTTGCTATTATTGTTGTCATTCTGCATATCTCCCGCTATTACTACTGACAATTAGCTGAACGGGGAAACGAAACGCCATGTCTACCCCCTTTTATTCGCTCTTGAACACAGCGTTTTGACTATTTCGAAAAGAATAGCTTTGCTTATTGGTCAGTATGTGAGCAGTTACGGCGTACAAAAATTGCCCTCTGGTGATCACTTTCATTCACCACTTGGGATGCGCCTAATTGCAATGTCCTGTTGAGAGTGCTAGTGACTGACCAGTGGTGGTGCCTGTGACTTACATTGTAGGTATGTGAGGAGGCACGCTGTCCGAATCGGAGTGAGTGCTGGAAGGGGGGCGAAGACAGCGTACCCACGGCAACAATTATGGTAAGATCTTTCTTTTCAAGATGTGAGTTGGGGTAACTCGATGTGGCTATGATAGTTGTGCTGCAGATCTCTCAAAACTTTAACTGGGCGCAAGAAAATGGAATGCTGCAGTGACCATTCCTTGCAGCTTTCGTTTGTTATACCGTTTGTAATGGATGGAGTTGATGAGACGTGTGAGCATTATTGCCTCCAGTAGCCTTTATGCCATCAGATTGCACTAAGTCCTGTCGTATGGCATGAGCTAAGAAAGAATGTGAAGTCAGTAATTGGAGCATCATGTAGGAGATTTTTGGAATTGCGACGAACTAACACTAGTGTTAGTGGAGAGTCATTAGAAGATCACAAGTGTGAGGTTGTTCCAACAACAGTAACCGTTTTCTTTTATGGACTTCTTAACACCACTAAGTTGAGAGACAGATGTTCATTCGCTGGTAGTGGTGAGCGTGAAGGAGATGTAGTTTTATTGTGAGCAGCCCAGATGGGTGTCACGTCAGCTCAGTGGAAATGACTCCTTTGTTGATGTGCAGTCGAATGTATTTTGTATGGTCGTTTTCAAATTTGGCATTATGAAGCATGGTATTGGTGAGGACCGACTGGCCGAACCCATTGTTTACGCTGCTCAATTTACCAATTCATCATACAAATCGTCGACAGTTTGAATCTTTGGTGTATGCTCTAATCTCTTTTACATAGGGAACTACCTTTGATGCTATTTACAGATAATGGGCGATACTTGCACCCGGGGATGTCGATTCTGTTCTGTGAAGACGGCTTCCCATCCATCGCTTCCGGACCCAGAGGAACCATATAAGACTGCAGATGCTGTGAGCAAATGGGCCGTAGAATACATCGTAATCACATCCGTGGATCGTGATGATATCCCTGACGGTGGGGCATCCCATTTTGCGGAAACCGGTTAGTTTCTAGGTGGTCTTTTTTTCAAAGTCCTGATGGCATTCATGCATTTTAACTACTTTGTTAGTGTGCATTCAGCACCCATTCCTTATGAAAAGAGATGATTTCTCTCCTTCCTCCTCAATTCATTTACTTATATAAGTGTTAATGCTTGAAGTAATTGATAAAAACCTGACTTGGGTGACATTAAAGAAGTACAAATGATATTATCAAAAATTCATGAGATTCCATTGAAGAAAGAGCTGTGTGGTAACCAGTTCTTCCTTGCCATTTAGTGAGACAAATCAAAATCAGATCCCCATCCATCCTCGTTGAATGCCTACTGCCAGACTTTCGAGGAAGCATTGCCGCCATAACAACTATGGTGGACAGCGGTCTTGATGTCTACGCACACAACATTGAGACAGTGAAATCCCTCCAAAAGTTCGTAATTGCTCATTGTCAAAGTTTTTACATCCGTGCAACACTAAAATGACATTCAAAACTGGAGTGGGATCCCGTTATTAAATGCCGAATTGATTAGAATGATCACGATGGCAAGTCACTTCAAATTAGTGACATATTCGTGCTATTTTACCGTTTCTCCATATCAACACTAGTGCCAAAAAAATCACAATACTATTAGTGGTGCAGTGGGACCATCATCAAATCGAATACTGAATGGCTCTTCTCCCGTCCGATCACTTGTAGAACTGTGCGAGACCACAGAGCAGGCTACCTCCAATCTCTGGCAGTACTGGAGTATGCAAAGAAGTACGACAGACAGCGTCTGGCGGTTGCAGGTGGCGGCAATCTTGTAACAAAGTCAAGCATCATGCTGGGCTTCGGGGAGACCGATAACGAAGTTTTTGAAACTCTCTCTGACCTCCGCCTGGCTGGGGTCGATTGTGTAACTCTCGGTCAGTACATCCAACCCACTCGGCGACATCTCAAAGTCCGTTCTTGCTCTCCAGAATTTTCGCCATTTCTGGGTTTTACATTCACACTTACCTTCACTCTTATTACACTACCTTAGGTCCGTGAATACATCCATCCAGATAAATTTGCTTACTGGGCCGATGTGGCAAAGTCGCTGGGCTTCCTGTCTGTAGCTAGTGGTCCTCTGGTGCGCTCTTCCTACCGAGCAGGGGAGTACTATATCAAAAATATCATTGGAGCCAGGAGGATGAATCAGATGTGAGTCCAGAGCAATACCCATCCTTTTGTCGCAAATCACATCCTTCTTTGAGACTCATTCTCTATCTGCGAGATTCATCTCCTGCACCAAAGTCGCCAGCTTACCTCACTGTGCTTCTTTTACGGTCAGAAGATAAGCATTACCCAAATTCCCATTTGGATGCTGCCAGGCTCTTAATTTCCAGTTGCGTTTGGTGGTTATGATTTATGGAAAATTCTTCAGAACTTAACACAAGACCATTCAACAATTCAAATACTAATTTGCGAAATGGTATTTGGATGGGCGTAATTACATTCAATATCACAACATGTGCTCCAATGCGAATTCGCAATGACGAGTATTATAAGATTGAAAGGCATAAAACTCACGACAGAGGGCCAAATGGAATGCTACGAAAACGAGGAATCAATCAAGGGGTTGCATTTGTTTATTTGATGGCTAATGTGTATAAACCAGGAAGAGGGGGGTAATAAAACGAACAAAAAGATGCGGTTAAAGTTGTTGAGGCACCGAAGTCTCATCTTTACTCTAGAAAAGACATAATGAGGAAACGTGACGTCTCCAAATTGGGCGAAAAATGGGAAAGGTGGAAGTTGAAAAATCTTCAAAGAATGAGTATCGGTTGCAATTCAAGACCACAAGGCCTTCCAGCATGTCCGCATGTAAAGGGATGTAGAGTCTGACACGAGTATTGACAACCTTGGCAAATACTACCTTTCTCACCCAACAATGAAAATAGGATTCACAATGATGAGTCTGCATAAACATTGGAGCTTGAACAATTCTGTTACGGGCGTGGTGCAAGCTCATGCGATGGGGAGGTGCACAAGTTAACGTAAGCAGCGTTAGCTACGCGTCGAGATTTCCACCAGGTTGCACATGGGTCGAGGGCTGAGCTTCAAGTACAGCGATTGCTTGAAGCAAAGCTTCAGCACCCATATTTTCGCTATGGTGGAATTTCTTTGCTTCGACCCCTCCTAAAAATGAGGAGAAGACCTTCAAAATTGGCATTAATAAAAGTAGAGGTGGAAAGGTCTGATAGGATGATTAAAGGAAAATTAAGGGAAATTAAACGATAAAACCAATTATTATTTCCTGCAAAACAAGGTAGTTACCCAATTTTGTTTCGGATGACACAGAGCGAGACCGTTTGAATTGAGTTAAGGGATTTTCAGATGAATCCTGTGCCTCCATCGCCTCAACACATTCTGACGACGCGGAGGAGCCGGTGAGCTCCTGTTGATGCTCATTTTTGAGTATAGACCAGGGTTGTCTGTTGCCGCGGATATCCTTTGGCTGAGAAAATTGCGATCTTCCGCTCCCCACCTCTCCCTCATCATCACCACTTTGGCAAGCTCTACAGACGTAGACCTCGGGTACCTGGAATATGGGCCAAACAACCAAGGTCTCCCTTACAGTAGCGACTTAAAGACTATCTTCAGTGCAAATTTGCCCGTCTCCACTTCAGTTTTTTCTTTGATCCGGCTTAAAATCTGCTACATTTTGTCGGTTTAGTCCTTGAGATTATACTAATAGTAAACGAGAATACGAGGTTTGAAGCTTGTTTCTAAATTTTATACTCAACTAGCTTTAAACCGGATTAACTCCAAATAGCACATCAGTTCCTCTCTCAGCGACTTTGCGGACAACGGCGCAATCCTCAAGGTTGGCACTATTTCATACGTAGGAGAGGCAATAAGGTTCACGAGGTTTGTTACAGGTCGTCAGGCGTGCGTATTTGTGCATACTCCGTTGAAAAGAAAAATGCACCTCACGAGCGGACATGATGCCGACGCAGCGTTGGTGGTACCAATAATTGCATTTGTCACAGGCCACCCAAGCAACAGTACCACGGGGCCTTCTACAGCCGTTGGCAGCTCCGCAAAAATCTTGCCATTCGCCCTCCTCGTTCACTTTTCCAACAGCGTGTTCCCCTCTTGATCGTCTTCGAGGCACCAGAGTTCGGTGTTGGCGTCGCGAAAACCCTCCTCTCATCCTGCTGCCACCTCTGCGATCTCGTCGGGTAAATGGTAGTACGGAAGTCCGGCGTACCACACCAGTCGCAGAGAAATCCCGAGCCGCAATCTAATGCAACATCAAAGCTAATGGGGAGAAGCTAGCTTGTTTAATAACTATTCGATCCTCACCGTTCAAGCAAACACAGGGATGAGTACTTCAGCCCAAAGCTCTGCTCTTATGTACATCACTAATGGCAGCGCTAGAAACAACATTTAATGCGGAAGTGATATGCCTTAAAGAGGAGGTACAAAAAATGTTATTATATAACAACCATGGCAAAAAAGAGAACTTACAAAGTCGTTAATGCTTAACTCCGATGATAGCACTTCAATATACAGAATAGTGTTCTGACGAAAGGCTAGCAGTGCATTTGATTAAAAAAACCATTGCAGAAACCGGTAGCAAAAGGAAATGACGCAGTCATGATGCTAACGAAATTCCCTTGGACAATCCTTACAAGACGATGGTCTGTGGAGACGTGAGCACCTTCAGAGGCTCGTTTGCTACTTTTAACTTGAGATTTAGAGCTCGAGATTGATTGCTGTCCACCGGTGAGAGGAGAAGAGACAACAGATGATATGGAGGCAAGAGAAGAGTTGGACGGTTCACGACAGGATTCCTCTTTGCCTTTAACTGGATTATCTATCATGGTATTTAAGCCGAAATTCTCGCCTCCGTCTTTGCTTTCGCCTTCCTTTACGTTTACCTCTGCCTCCTCTTCTTCGTCTCTACTGGAAGTTTCAGATTGGCTAAAATAACAGTGAAAGTGAACTGCATTGATAATTGCACCAATGAATAACCCAATCGAAAATGATAATTTACATAAAACAAGCATCATTTTTGCTGAACCACTGGGAGGTTAGATGGGTCATCCCATCTTCGGGTCATGATGAAGAACTAAGCTACAAATGCACGAAAATACTTCCGATGATAAACTAGAAGGGTAGCTCCTGTCTCTACCTCGATGAAAAATTCCAATACACCCAAACAACACCCAGACATCAAATGACCTGACCTACAGAGTAAACCAAACACGTGGGAAGGATTATTTATAATAACTTCACTTTACTCCTTGCGCTCCCGTGAGGGCCTGAAGAGGAAGCGGCGCCGAGAAGTTATGTATGAAAAATAGCTCATAGATGGGCGAGGTAGAGTCTTATTTCTGCGTCTCTGAGACACGGGCCTTTTGGCATGACGGCCACCATAGGACTCCAGTCTATCCAAACCCAGAGCAGAGTCTCTTCCTTTGTGAGCCAACTGAAAAAAGGCACATAAAACTAAAACATCAATAGGAATCACTTAACGTCCGACTTTGAAAATAGGCAAAAATTACTGTAGCGTAGAATGGTCTTTCGAAAGAATTGTAGCGGCAGGAACGCGCTCGTCTGTGCGCCCCTAAGTCTTCTCCAATAGAACGTCTGCGACACTCGCGTCGACGAAGAGCCATCTCGTCCTCATAGACAACACGGGGATGCAGAGCACCAGGGGAGTCAGGATCTGCAGCCAGGGCGAGTTGCCAAAGCCATCGAATCTGCGGCAGGCTTACTTCCAGTGCGCATGCCTCCCCAATCAGTGTGTCTAGCCAGCTGCATGCGTCAGGTGGTATGTAACAACGGAATTCAGCAGGTGGCATCGAATCCTCACACTGCATTTGACGCTGATGATCTGGAGTGTACAAAGGGCTGGCCTGGTTAGAGTCCACTTTAACAATTTCGAACAGTCATAAATTTGAACTATTAAATGAGAAAAAGCAAATCAGAGAGAGCAGAACTTACTTTCTCCGCTCAAAGTTCGGCGCCGCGGATGACAGGTAAGAAAATGAGAACTATGGAGAGGCGAGTGCTGCTTTCTAGGACTGGCCGGTGGTTCAATGAGATCGGCACTGGTGGAGGACATAATAGCTAGTGCAACTGCCGCCTCCTTCTCATTTCGTCCCTTTGAGTTCCTGTAGTCCCTCTCAGTACTGCTTGTCAAAATTTCACGATCGTCGGTATCCTTAAGGCGAAAGAAAGTGTGAATAAACACAAATATTTCCTTTAAAGCTAATGACTGTATGGTAGCATTTAAATGAAAAGCAAAGTTCGAAAAGCTTTTCATCCACCTAGGTAAAAGAGCCTGATTTCGTGTTGTTGATAAATAATATAATTTCATTAGTGCATACTACACAACCAAGAAACTTCATTATAAAAAAACTAAAAGAAATGCAATAGCGAAAGGTAAACGCAAATTAAAGAGTATCAATATGACTAAAGAGACAGTAAGCAGAAGGCAATTCCACTTAGAATCGTAATGAATGTTTGAGATTTACTAATGGTTATTGCACTTATAAAGTTATAAGGAAGAGGAACCCTCAGAGGCCATTTAACCATACATCCACTCCGAAGGCTAGTGCAGGGGTCTCCCGTCGAGAAGGTGAGATGGAACGTTGGAGTTGATGTGGAAAGAGAAAGGAAGACGTGGGAGGACTTCTAAACTGATGTTGGCGGTGGAGGCAGTGCAGCCGCTCAGAGGCGAGACTGCGTGGTGCTGTGGTCCGCAGCACGAGAGGCTGCATACCGGGTGGACGCACGACGTTTGGCGGTAAATGCGACCGCATTAAGCCAACTGAATGCGGTTCCTGCTCCGATTGATGAGTAGAGATGGCGTGCTGTTGGCGTGCGGGTGCGCACAATATCACAGCCTCATTGAAGTTGTTCCACTGCATTTGCACTCCCGAAAAGGTTTCATACTCCATGAATGCCTTTCGCAGTTCTGGAGTAGACTTAAAGGTGCACAATGAACCAATCATTATTGGGTTTTTGAAGTGAAACTGAAGGAGTTTCAAGGTTCTTTTAAAAAGCTTTGTTTTAGTGTACTCGACATAAAAATTTATACTTAGTTTGTTGTGAGCTCCCCCTTATATCAGCTGGCCACTTTTCAACTCTTCACTTTGCGTATACAAGCCCATTTGTCAGAACGGTGATAATCAATAAGTAGAGGACAACCAAGGAGATCTGAAGAATAAGAGTAAGGATAAATTGGTACCTCCGCCTCTTTCTTCCCATTCTCTAGTTTAAATTTTAGGGGCAAGCTTTAGCGAAGTATTGTCTTGCGTCCTTCTGTGAGAAGTAGGATCTATTCTGAGTAGCAATTTGGTGTTAGTGGATCCCCAAAAAAGATTCTTCGCACATGTTCGGGTTATTGGTAGATTTTGGTTGTAATTAGTCTTAAGCATGCAACTCACAGCAGGCGATTCTACCCGCAGTTTACAACGTGAAAGAAAACGCAGTCCTCCGAATACGAAACGGTTCCTCAAATGTGTAGATGTAGGTGCAGATGATTTTATAATACGCATGAAAGGAATGGAGAACGGTACCCATATGCGTACTGAAATGCATATAAATGACATGCAAGAGGTTTAGAGTAATTGCATGGTTTTTCAGTTCTCACGGATTACCAAATTCACCATTTAAGCCACCGAAAACAATGCAACTAGGCTTCTGACACTGAACAGATGGCAAGCAAATGACAATTGGTGGTTTCATGGTTTATCGAACGCAGACATACGGAGACATTTATAGCCTAGTAAGGGGACCATTCCAGCAACTCACCAAGATAACAGTCCTGACACGCCGAACAAAAGCGAAGGCGCGCTCGCAGAGCATCTGGACGGCAGCAAGAACAGGTATTTTAAGGAGGAAGGGAACAGAGACGAGGGGCGCCATGAGGTCAGAGGTGATGCTTGATTTAACTGTGGGTGAATGGTCAGATAGAACCGTTGTTGCCCCTGAGTCTTGCTTTGTTACAGAACCAGTGACGTGAGGGACAAGTTCTTCCAGTATCTCAATCACAGTTGACAGTTCGGGCCGAAGTGAGCGCTCACAGCGAGGACAAGTATAGCGCACACGCCTGACGTCAATGTTCTAAGGAACCAAAATAAGCAACAGCGGAATCCACTTGTGAGAAAGTTGACAGCGACAGTGAATTTGTAAGTGAATGATCGTACTCTAGATGAGAACCCGACACATCTTTTGTGGAACCAGTCCTTGCAGAGTTCGCACTGCAACATGATGCCCGTATAACCTGGCTGTCGGCAGACGCAATAGATTACCGCATTCTGGTTACGCTCCTTCGATTTGCGCATGTTCGAACGACGCAGGTAATGAAGAAGTTGAAGTTCATTCTCAATCATTGGCGTATAGACGGTGTCGTACATGTGATCGAAGTCACTACCATCATTGAGCTCTTGTAAAAATTTCTATTTTGTAGAACCACAAAAATGCAAAATGAGTTGACTACGTACGGGAGGGAACGGCAGGAAAAGAGAGTAAACAAACCGAAACGTTCTCCTTGCATGCATCGACATAGGCCCGGGCATCAAAGAGATTGGGGAATTGGCTCGAACCAGAGGTGCCACCATCACTGGTATTTGGCATCACCTCTGCGTCGCGTTGAATGAGCAGTCCATAAGCAGATTTTGGTCGTGGGAGGAGTACCTCCAAGAGGATAGCTGGAGTAAAAGCACGTTCATTGTCCGAAGGCAAGAAAGCGGCCCTTATGCGGGTATAGCAGCGATCAAGGGCATTCAACTAGAAGTGAAAAGAACTAGCTCATTAACTGAGTGGAAATGAATTTGCACGATGCCAAAAATTAGTGCGCTGAAATGCTGAAGTGGATTAACGGATTTCGAATATTTTCAAACTGCTACGCCACAATCATATAATGACTACCAATTTCAAAATAGATACAGGTTTATAGACAAATTAGGCATCTTCATTTCCATGGTGCTACCCTAACCAAACGCAATTTGTCTGAAAGGCTCACCAAGTTTCTGAGTTGTGCAGTATCTGGAAAGACAAAGGGAAGCTTTTTGGCAGCGCTGCAGACCTCCTCGTAGAACCTAAGCCAGACTCGTGGGGTAGAGTCAGCAGTGTATAGCCTGGCTCGTCGGACAAATTCATCTGGAAAAGGGCTCTCAACTGCGACCTCTCCCTCCGCTTGCGGCTGCGGATCTCCCTTTACGGCCTTCCCTATTCTAGACTGCGTAGCGACATTGACACAAGGGCTCTTGAAGAGGCGCTGAAAGCATGAAAAATGCTTCAGCAGAGTGTGAGCTCTGGCGCACAGCTGAGCCAGTTCCCCTGACACATCGAAGGTGGCCTTGAGACTGGACGCTTGAGCCACCAGTGCCTCCGCTTCAGAGAGCTCACGCGAACCATTGCTGAAGATGAGGAGATTACGAATTGATACCTCTTATGAGTTATACTACCAAGAAACCATGCGGAAACAATTCACGCAGGATGTAAGGAAGACAGAAAAATGCCAAGTTAACACAGCATAAATTCTAAAGCCTCTTAAAAAATTACTACTAATAGGTTACAATGGCTATTTTAAATCGCGACGGCCAACATCCATGCAAAGATGGTACTTCCTCGAAGTCAAATAAAATAGCATCCGGAATAAGAGACATAACTATTGTAGTTGGTAACAGGCAATTTGATCCTTTTCCCAGCATATAATCAAAATTGGCTACCTGTTGGTTAGGATTTTTAGCGAAAGTAGAGGCAAGCAGAACGTACGGTGCTTCGAGAACCTCCTTGATGGCATTTTCGATAACTTGAGCCTCAGAGATTACCTTCTGAAGTCCAATGCTTCCTTTCAAGAGGGCCGACTCCAGAGCGGTGATGGATTTTTCCGACCCAATTGATGGTCCTGTAAGACGATCAGGGTGGAGGACATATGCTAGCATCTGACCACGAGTTTCAAGGTCAATGACTTCTTTCAAAGGAGGAAGATCCTCATCTAATGTGGTTCTTGGCTTCATGATTCTTTCCACGCTTTCTAACCACGACACGCATTCCAGAAGCTGGTAGCATAAACGAATATTCGTGCAATGTATACTCAAAAGCGGTCCATACAAGTTTTAATAATTAAATTGCTACCTACATGCTTTAGACCTTTCAGATGACACAACTCCACATCAACACTCCTGGCAAAAGCTACAAGCCGTTCGATTCGGTAAACCTCAGGGAGGTGAGAAAGAGGATCTCCACTGGTATCATCACCAGTGAGTTGCTGGGCCAGTGACAGCACCTCACACGCCGAAATATGCCACTCCTCCAGCCTTTTACTAAACCTATTCAGCTCCTCCACTTCGGGCATTGTGCAAGGCAGACCATTAATTTTTTCCACGTAATGCTTGAACTCATTCATGGTGATCTGTGAAATAAAAAGCACACCTCGGTAAAAGTGTACTACAGATCAGATGGAACTAAAATGTGACAAAAATTTTAACAGCATAATCCTAACTTGAGAAAACTGAAGGATAAAAAAATTATAAACGACCCAAATGAAATGACTGCTGTAAGCATCAAATAACCCAATTTCGCTTTCAGTAGTGGATGCAAATCGAATGAATGGGTTAAAGTGGCTTAGAGCTAACCTTAGTGACCGATGGATTCCATGGGAGATCAATTTCCACGAAGTCCTCCATACTACCTCCGCGCTTTCGAGGTGTACTGTTGACAGAAGGGCGGCGTTTCCGACTTTCTGGTTTTTGGGAGCAAATTTCGCCAATCATCGAGACACAAGCCTCTGCTGTCTCTATTATTTTGCTCAAAGAAGCAACCACATCACCAGGGTAGCAATTCTGGCGACCCACGTCTCGGAGTTTCTACGTACAAAATAGCAGAGCACATTAAAGGAGCATAGGGGCCATACAAGGAATCAATTAAATACACACTCAGAAACCAATTATTTACAATTAGATCCTTAAGCGGAATTTTGTGCATGGAACCACCTCCTTCAGAGTCCACTGCACCTGCCTGTTCAGTGATCGTGTCTGAAATTAAGACAAAGTATAATAAAAGCCAATTTATGATTGATGGAATGGACTAAGAAGCTCAGCTAAGGTGAAGCATCGTCTTGTAAAGACGAAAGGATTTCCAACCTAAACAGAATGCATTAAAAGTAAACTTTTTGCTGGCATTGTTAAAACGATGCATCGCTTAAAATTTATTGAAGGCACGTAAGGCATAATGTTAATAGTTTGTATAACCGGTAGAGATCATTGAGCGACATTAACAATACGTTGCAGAGCATCGGTTCCCTTTTTAATGGAAAGAGTTCTGGCAATGCTCTGGTTTCATTATTTCAGAGAGAAACGTTCCAGCATACTTAAACAGAACGAGATCAATTCAGCGACCATCACGAACATGACTCTAAAGCATGGTCTAAAAACGCATTCGATTGCACACCAGTAAAAATCGCAATCACGAAAGATTGGCGCACTAACGTACCATGGCTCTCAATCTGACCACCGGTTAAGGAGAGTGCAAGGCTCTCACTTTCTTTTGCATTGCGAAGGGACGCGCTTGAACGCAAGAAGTTATCAACACGTGCCCTCCACTGACGGTACTCACGTATGCGCTCTTGCGGCCGATCCACAAACTGCGAGAGTTCATCAAGGCCATATCGATAAAGAAGAATTTGGTCCTCTGCTGGACAACACGTGCATGACTGGTAGTGCTCCAAGCATAAAAAAGCTGCACGCAAAAGACATGGATGACGAAAAGTACCGACAATAACAGTTGGCGTAATGAGCAATGCCGAATGACGCTAAACAAAATGTTGCATGAACAGATCAGGTCGTAACAAAGGCTAGTCGAATTCGTAAAATGTCAGTGTATCCCCCCAAACAGTAATTAGTTGAAATGCGGATGATAAGTCAAGGAACCCACAAAGAGTAGCTTAATTGTAGGAACAAAGTTAATACATGTAATAAATTGCGAAGAAGTCTTAGCTTGTGTGGAGGATGACTTATCCGCCCGTTCCTTTTCAGCCCAAATAACCCACCAAATGGCGAGAGCTCCAGAAGGCACTTACACTTGGAACAGGAGCAGGTAAGAGCGGAGGTGAAGAGAGTAGTCTTGCAAAGCTGGCACTCGCGCGAATCCTCTTCAAGAGCTTCGAAGACAAAGCGCTCGGTGCGTCGAACACCCAGACGCACCAGGTGCCGACGCAAAGAGCGCTCTTTGGCTAGAAGCCCGGCAAGTTGATCGGTCACGATTAGGAAGAATGTGATAGGCACTCTGGTGCCCTCTAATCCCGACTCTGCAAGGCGACAGAGGAGTTCGGCGTGGGAAAACAACGGAGGGCGATGGAGAAGAGCATAGTGGTCCACACAATGGAGTCCGAATGGAAACTAGTGGAAATAATTGAGCTCATTGATCCTTACTTTGGCGTGCTAAAACACCGTAACTTGCAAAAAAAAGACATTTGATGGCTGTTAAGCTTAATAAACTAGACACTACAGTCGTCACGGCAAAAGGCAACATGAAGTTCAGGAAAATGAGTGAAGAGATTACCCATTGTGAAGGGCAAAAGTTGACAGATTCTGAAAAGTTAAACCCATTATTGTAGCCAGCATGATAAGCTCGTGGGAATGTAACCACAAACTCTCCAGCCAACTGATCGAGATGGCAAACAGGAACACCATAGTGTATAAGGCGATCAGGAGGGACGAGCGTTATCAAATGGTGGAAGACGTCTGGAGAATGAGGGAATAGTCCACATGTCTCTGCTTGCATGGCCGCCTCAAAGGCATCAGCATAAGCTCCCGGAACCGCGTACCAGGTCTTAGGCTCGCCCCTTAAATGGTATGAAAATAAAATGCATTTTGACATAGGGTATGTTAAATTAATAGTACCAAAAATGCATTTCACCGACAATCAAGTTGATGAATGAAATTGAGACGAGAAACGTGGGTCGATATTCATGAAATTTGCTAAGAAAACAACTAAATCCAGTCTGCTCACAGCCAATGGCTTACATGTGTAAATAATTGATAGAAAAACTCCAATGATCTTCAGTATCCCAGCAGAAGTAGGAGAACACCATGCCAACATGACACGAAGGGGACGTTAACTGGACAAGAGAAAGGCGATCAGTTATTAAATAACGCGGAAAAAGATTTGACTGATCTCACCTTTAGGCCAGCCATGCTATCGGGTAAATAGTGAAGAGCTGAGAGGGGGTTCTTCGCCAAATTATTTAAATTCCACGGTGAGTTACAGTAATCGAATTCTCCCAGATTACTTGGAGTGGTGGGGAAGCCAGAGCCACTTATTGACGAGCGAAGATCAGTACCACATTCAACGATAACACTACATTCAACATCATTCAGAAGTCTCCAAAACTCATCTCTGACGTCAGTAAGAGTGATGGTCTTAAGGTGATGCCAAGAATTAAACAAGAACCACATACCGACAGTGGATTCTTGAAGTATTTTGCCTTAAATTCATCAGCGGTGTAGCTGAAATCCCGTAATGTGCAAGAGTCATCCACTTTACGAAATCCATTTGCCTCAATTTTTGTTTTCTTGTTAAATTCATTCGAAAAACACCTGGGGCAAAGCCATCTTTTGGGAACATATGAAAGGGGAATATCAAGGCAGAACGTATGATACACTCCATCAAAACGGCACTCATCGCACACAAGTATTTGGCAAGGTCTGTTAGATTTTTTGCACTTCTTGCAGGCAATCAGCTTTGACTAAACAATAAAGGACAACAAACTAGGGATTACACTTTCTTCACGTGTGCAAGATCCCTGAGAATATTTATGAGCCTGACACAAAATCTGAGGCTTTAGAATGACAAAGCGGATTACCAAGTCGACATTTGAATTATGGGCACTGACGAACGGAAGAATGAGTCTCTGGTACTTTGCACAGATAGCTGATGCAATATCAGGGCAAGACTCAAAACCCATTGTTCCGCATATAATAATCCACGCGTTCTTGAGGCAAACATTGTTATAACCGCCACAATTTTTTACAGCTGCGTGCAGTTCGTACATGTCCAACTGTTTGCCTCGAATAAATTGGGCAAACACAGTAATATTCTACAAAACCTAAGCTAAGGAAAGCATTTCAGGTACCTGGGATTTCCAATAATTAGCAAGTGACTCTAAAAAGGCATTTTTCTCCCGATTCCTAGGAGATACATCTGCGATTCTTTGAATGCGTGGAATAAAAGAATACTCAGTGTCATTCACCGAGAATGGTGGACTCCAGTTCTAAAAGAATGGTATAGAACCACAAAAAATAAGCACTTTTGGAGGCTTGATTTTGCAGATCCCATACTTGACAGCAGTATCGTAGATCTTCTGGACATACTTAATAGGATCATCGAAATCCTCGAGAGGAGGTGTAAATACAGGAGCACTACAGAGGCTTGCCGATCCGAAAGCCTCCATCGCATTTACCGACTTTGTCCTTGAAAATCGAACGGATTACTAATGACAATAATAGAAGTCAGTCGCACAAAAATATTGGTGGTTATGTGTATTTATGTAATAATTTGAAACAAAGACCGACGTTGACTCAAAAAAGAAGTCTTAACTAAATCATTTTGTTTATGTTATAAGCTGGCGTCTAGCTGTGGCTGATATTTGCTTGTCCTTACGCGGGTGGACGAGCTTTCGGGCCAAGCAAAGAGGTGATTTCTTCTCCTATAATACATGTTTAGCCCAACTTGATGCCTTTTCAATTCTGTTGGAAGTGTCAAGACCCACATTTATTATTTCCCAAAGATGGAATTCGACAGTTCAATTAGAGAAGAGAACATTGGGTAGGCACCAGAATATTTGACGCCTGAGTTGTAGAAGACCAGTGTTGCGACACCGCAACCACTTATTATGGCCGGGGTCATTTGATATATCATACTAAATGAACTAAGTCGTCCGACTCCCAACCATGGCAAAATATCAGTTCCTCATTCCTTATAGGGAATGCTTGCATCGTATTTACGCGTAAGGTAGCCCCAGGACGCTACATGCTCACTAATGGAGAGCGCGGTGGTATAATACTCTAGCAGCCTAGTCGCCCAAGTGGACACTGCACAGATTTTTAGACGTGTCAACATCAAACGCACATCCACTTAAATTTGTCCCACAAATATAAACCGAAGTCTGATAATGCCTGTTTAGGTGGACTTTTATAGGTGAGAGGCGAGTACCAACTGGAAACGCGTATCAGGTGCGCAAAGCCGGCGAGTACTCCCTATCCAACTGATATTTCCTACTCGCCTCATCTGCCTCGCCTCCCCATTCTTCCTTAAAAAATGCCTAATAAACAATCTGCAACCAACTCTCTCTTGAAGTCTGAGGTTCAAGGACCAGAGAGTAGACAGGCAGCCCTTACAATGCCACGCAAGCATTGGGTCACCTACGTCAGTCAGTAGCGCCTTCAGCTTCTTGCAGTCTGTACTTTGCACCCGTTTGACTCCGCTAGAGTCCGTTTTTGTATTTCTGCCTTACTTGGCGCTGGGATGGAGGGTATAGAGGCCACTATAGAAAGAGCACTGGAAAAGGTGCCTACTCCCGCCTATGAGTCGAGTCAGTCCATTCAACGAAAGCAGCACATCGCTGAAAATCACATCAATAATATGCAAAACAAACTATAGTATTCGAGACTTCCCGCAGGATAGAAGAAGGTAGGAAGTGAATTGAGTACGGGTAATTCAAGCAGGATCAAGCAAATGGTTCTGAGAATGGCCCGAAGGCCAGCTCACAGGTACAGGAGCCAGACAAATTCTCAAGTGACCGCCAAACGTCAGATATTCACATAAACAAAGCATTATGCTACCCTTCTCTTCTTTGGAGCGACGCCCTAGGTGCCTCCCTGGTACACCTTCCGCTCCAGCAAGCAAAACATATTTGGTCTCACAAGAAAGCACACACGAGACAACCACGCCAGTCGACGGATACCATAATACTGAGGAACCATACCTGGTCTCCTCAGCAGCCTCAAATGGATCTGGAGTTACGTTTGGTCTGACAACTAGATTTAAGGCCGCATACATCTGTTGACCATCAATTGCTTACAGAACTAGACGGTGGACCTCCGGTCTAAAACATACATGTTTCAGGTAAAACGAAACATACCACTGCCCCGTATATAAAAAGAATCGTAGTGTCATTTCCGACACCTAAACACGGATTTTTGTGGTAAATTCCGACACAAAACTCTTCCAGATGGTTCACGACGTTGTCACTTCAGTTGTTAATAAATTGTCTGTGGAACAAGAGAATAAGTCGAAGCCGAATGCAGACGCGAGTCTCGACCTCTTCGTTGCGAGGAATTCAGCGATTGCTAATCACCGATGCAAGTGAGTCTCTGCCACACCTTAGGTATGCAATAATGGTAAGTGCTAAACTAAAGGTCATTGAAAAAGTGTCGGGTTCTCTTTCCTCTGCCACCAGCGTAGCGTCTCGAGACTTTCCATGCGGTTAAAAGAAGGTAGTAAGCGAGCCTAGGTATCTGCATTCCAAATTGGGCAAAGCGACTGAGTCTAAGTGTGACCCGAAGGCCAACCCACAAGTACAAGGATCAGATAATTCCCAAAGTTATCACCACAGGTCGGGTGGTCACACACAAAGCATTACACTACGTATCTAATATATGTTAAGTGAGCAACATATAATCAGGAGAATGTGCAACACATACGAATGAGGGACACAAACTGGACGATACAAGTAATTAATATTTGGGTATACATACTTTTATATACACTGCATATATAGTCAGTTACGATTTATAAAGCAGCTTTCCAAACAGTTGTGATTTTGGTCCATAGGCTTGCGTCAATTTACAACAGAACCTAATCGTAAAATTTTTTGTTCTTCTATTACCTATCGAAATGGTTCACACCTACCAAATTATTACCAAGATATCATTGGTTGTGAATTTAAATTGCATTCGGCTTATTCTATTGGCTTGTCGTGGGTTTGTCCGCTTCGTGCCTTCGTAGGCATGGTTCTGCGTGCATGCTTTGCTTATCTGTTGGTCATTGGGATCTCCTCTGGGGTCGATTTTAAGCTAAGCGATTCTAAACTTCTTCTACCGTATTTCAGTAGTGCCAGCGTTAATTACACGATAACTGGTTCCGGTCATTCATGCTACGAATGGTAACACTGTCGCTGTTTATTCTTTAGTTATTAGGTGGTCAGGTTCTCCCGAAGTGGTTGCAGTTTCACCTATAGGGAGTGTAGGAGAGGTATGTGCGAACAGAGCCTCGGTCACGGCTATTTGGCAATCCGCTTTACGCCGTACTGCAACAATATACGCTCGTGAATCTGGTAAGGCAATCTTAGCTTTCTCAATGTTAGTTACGCGACACGTGCTTGAGTGCGACGTGATTGTCGACGACATTCATAGTATCAAGATTGATACCACCACTCAGGAGCTTTACTTACACAACACGCCGGCATCATTGGTCGTTGTTGGTCATGATGAATTTGGCAACACATTCTCTAGTCTTGATGGAATCCCATTTGAGTGGAAGATTCACGCTGGAAGTGCAGGTTTAAAAACAGCAGGCGATGGTGTGCTTCGCTTCCTTACGTGGACGGAGTCTGAGTACACCACGCCAAGTCGTATTGGACTTCTTGAAGCTGAGGGAATGCAAGTAAGCAGTCGCTTCATGCCCTATTCCATTTTTAAAGGGGTATATGCAGCTTGTTAGCGGACTTAGAACTGGTTCAGCTGTTGTAACAGCGACGCTGCGAGAATCTACTTATAGTCACGTGCCCTCTGCTAAAGTGCGTCTACTTGTTATGGCAAACGCACAACTTAATCCGCCAGTTCTTTATCTAATTCCCAGTTCATTAGCATGTTTTCAAGTGAATGTTGTGCGACAAGATGCTAATGAAGGTTTGTCTACCATCGATCGTAAATTTCTTTTAGAGGTAATGATGCCTTCGAAGCAGTATTATCTCTCTGTCGCGGATGAAACGGTAATCGAACTGGATGCCGATACTGGCTCAGCTATAGTAGCTCTAAAGTATGGACAAACAACAGTGACTCTTTTGGACAGAAGTGTGCCCATTTCTCAAGTCATTTGACTGTTTTTAAATCTAGATGTTGAAGAAGCTATTGAAATGCTGGGATCTGGCAATTCCGATGGAAATGACACGGAAACACAAATGTTAGCCCATCATCGGCGCCCGACCTCAATAGTTTACGTTGTTGAGCCTGCGTACTTCCAATTCACAGTTCATCCTGTCGGTGAGGATGCGCGGTTGTGCATTACCGCTGCTCGTCAGTCTTTTTCCCAAATTCTCAGTCAGGGTCAGTACAACCATTGGACTTTGGAAATAGGGAAAACATACAAATTGTTCCTCGACCTCTATGATCAGAATAACCATCGTATTTTCCCAGCTGACAATATTCGCATCTCAGTCATATTCCCAGATGGTGTATTTAACGTATCAGAAGGAGCAGAGAATGGAACTGTACACACCATCATACCACAAAAGACTGGAACATTCACAATCAAATCAACTCTGGAAGGTGTGGCAGCGAAGGTACGGCAAGTTAGATTTAACCAACTTCCGATTGTTGATAGACAGGTGAAATGAAGCTATTGAGCCATCCGGTTACTGGAAGTCAGGAGTTGATTATTTACTCACCACTCAACGTGTTCCCTAGTCAAGTAAACGTTGCTTGGGACGCATCAGTAAACGTCAGCGAAGGGTATGCCCTGGCAGCGGAGGGTGGTAGTGGTGATTACGTATGGGCAGCCCTACCCGGATCTGGCTTTTCATCCTCTGAGGTCCAAACTAACAAGGCAGACGTAGTTGTCTCTGTATCATCCGGACTTTTATTTGCAAAGGTTATTTTTCATTGCTATGTTTTTATCGATCCACAAAAGTCTCATCAGGGTACTTTTTAACAGGGGATAGGCACTGCCTTGGTTGTTGTCTCGGACCTGCGAAATCCGAGCATGTGCGCTCACTCCGCAATTCGAGTAAGCAATCTTGCCAGCCTGAATTTTTCACCCGGCCGTGCGGAGGTTTACCTCCCTAGAAGATCATTGTCCGATGACGAAGGTCGACTTTCATCCCTATTGAGCGCTCGCTCCTCCTCTCTGGACTTGCGGGATCTGATACCGGATCCTTTAGCTGATGTGATGCCACTAGATAAACGTGAAAAGATGGAAAATGCTATTCTGTCGGTGGGATTAAGAGCCCGGGATGTTGAAGGAAACTTACTTACTTACTGCCATAATTTACCACTTCAAGTAGTACCAAAAGACTCATCGGTGATCAAGGTTCTTCCTGGTATGCTGGATTGACGTTTGCTCTTTCCATATCTTTTTTTTTCTGTGATCTTTCATTTTTCAGGTGTTTACCACCTCCCACCCTCCACGGGGGGGGTTGACCGCAGCGGCGTTTGTGCTTTTGTTCGTGTTGTGGGTCAGCGTGGAGGTTTCACAGATCTTGAAGTATTTTACACTTCAGGGCAGATTTCGGAGAAACGTGAAGCACATGCACGGTTCCCAGTCGCTGTTTACAAAGATATTTCTTTCCTCCCTAGTACCGCTTTCGTGGCCGTTGCTGTTGGCTCATCGAGACTCATTTCTGTATGCTCTATTTTTCATTCAGTTGTTTGTGAATAGTGAAAACAATTGGTTTGCTAAATGTGGGAGAGTTTAGATTTCGCAAAAATGAGCAGCTTCCTTCCCTTTTCTTATGAGGTATAGTTTACATAAGCTATTCGAGATATTATTGGCAAAACCATTCAAACTTTCCCTTTCGCACATTGTTGCTTGCCTCCATAATTGGTCAGACTCTACAAAACATTGCCGTGATTTGGAAACACTTCTTGGTACTGGGAAAAACAGGCTCATAGTAATACTCTATCTGAAATAGTCGACAAATTTTTACGTTAAACGTTGAGTTCCTTTACTGCTTTAGTGCATTTTGGCTGAATTTAGTGCATAAATGGCCCCATTCCGTGGCAGCTGGATGCTGAGTCGCACTTTGTCGAGCTGGACTTCACAGAACCCTCAGGCGGAAAAAAATACCCTTCTGTTCTTCAAAAACCTCAGTCCTTTGTTTTGCAAGAAAATAGTAGTATATCGGGACACAACTTTGTGCTCCGTTGTGAGTCCTTGGGCAATTTTAAAGTCATCGTAGTTGTTGGGAACCGTCCATCTTCAACCAACCCCCTGCCCGCCGTATTGTCAGCTACCCTTTTGTGAGTCTAATGCGATTATGGTTAATATTTCGTCGTTTAAAATCCGTGTGAAATTTCGAATGAAATCTAACACCAATACAAAAACGCTTCGAATGTCCAACGTTGGGTATTTATGATTCCTCTTCAGACTGAATTGTGATGTTCCTGCTAAAATCGAGCTCATTCCTCATTTGGATCTTCCAACTTTATCTCCCGAGCTTCCCCCGTGTCCTATCATCAACCGTTCCTTGGGGAATTCGGACACCATTGTAAGCCACTTCGCGAAACTGCTATTCGATTGTTGTTGAACTTGGCACGATTTTACGACTAATTCATTGCCTTTTACCGACTAGATTCCAATTTCGAATAGTGCTCCACTAACTGTAGAGGTTGCTTTCAAAGGCCTTACTGGTTACGAACTAAGTGGGGTGGATTCAATTGGAGTACGCACGCGTATTACTTCGGACACAGGCAAAGTACGTGATATCGTCTCCACGTCCGAACCCGTTGTTCTCGGACTTGAGAAAATCAGTGGTATTAATGGGTCTGCTAAGCCCCACTTTTTTATAACACCACGCACCTTGGGGGAGTCAGCAGGATTGCTACGTGTGCATGTAATGGCTGAATGTCATTACCTGAGAGAGCAATCTGGTATTCTCGAATCAGTTCTTACTCTCAAAATGGCCCCCAAAGTTGTGATCGAACCACTTGATAACTTCCAACTTCTCTTGCACCCGAAGGTATGCTCTTAGGTTTAAACAGATATTCGTATTATTCCGTTATCTAATGATGTGTTTTTAGGCCTTTGCAAGGGTTCATCTTTCTCACGGTTCGGGATACTTCCACTTTGGTATTGTACCGCATGAATTCACATCGAAGCTCCCAAGTCAACCCTGTCTTTCGGTTCAGCTCTCTTCGAATCGTGAAAGTGACGATCAAAAATCACAACGAGACTTTCTCCTAAGTCCAAAATGTCAGGGCAAGGTGACAATTCGGGCAACAGATTTGTGCTTTCCAGCAAGGCTTATCCCTCTTCGAGACAGCCGAAAGTCTAGAATAATTGAACCCTCCTTTGATGATCGCGTAGTATCTATAGTTGGACTTGGGTCACTTCGCCTTTACGCTCCTTCTCAGCTAGAGCTTCTATCAAAGGTTTGCACCCATTGTTCTACCAGCTTCTTCTAATGCGACGTATTGTCGATATCGGTATAGGCTTCATTTTATTTTGGCCCAAATTCTGGCAATTGTTCGGATGTGAGGTTGCAAGTATGCTTTATTATTTCACGTTTTTGCTAATTCTTATTTATTTGTTACTGGAATCGCTTCAGGCACATGCTTACGTCCGCGCTTTTGACACCGAAGGAAAGGTGTTTCCTGCTCGTTTTGTCAATCTACTGGATTTGGAAGCAATCTCCTCTGGCGGGCAGCCCACTGAAACCAATTCCATTATGGTTGCGACATGTTCAGACTCCCCCTCTGACTCTAGCAGCTTAGGGTTAGCGTCGATTAGTGTTTCAGGGAATCAGTTTTGGCTCTCTAAGCCTCCCACACACCTTGGTGATCTTCCTGGTCTTGCCAAGCTGAATCTTTGTGGCAAGGAACTCGGTCCCTCACATCTGAAGGTCGTTTCTGGCTCCGTGACTAGTAATGTTGAAATAATCAATGTACGCATGACGCTCTCAAGATTCTTGTGATTATACCAATTAATAGGCTTTTGATCTATTCCAACTACGGGTTATTATATTCTTTGGTTTAAGATAGGAGTCGCTTGAATGTTAATTAGTTTCTTACCTCCAGTTGCTGCCAATTTGTGTGTTTAACGTGTAGGTATATGCTCCGTTGAGCTTGAAGCCTTGCAACCTAAATCTGCTGTTGGGAGCTGCACACCAGATGGTAACTACCGGTGGCCCGTCCTCAAGTTCCGTGACTTTCAAAATTACTCCTGAGTATCCTGAACGACCCAAGCTGAGTGTTACAGAAATTATTGAAGAGGGAGGTAAGAATGGAATTCTTGTTCGTGCTGAGTTGGGTCGTACGGGTAGCGCCACAGTGTTAGCCAACGCCACCAGTTCCACTGGTTATGTGGGATTAGATACCCTCGACTTCGACGCTTGGGGCCTCACGCCGCCACCTACAACTCTGTCCTCTAAGGTGTGATGACTCTTCTCTGAGTTTTGACCCTACGGATTCCTCGGGTTGCGCTCGTTCTGTAATGCAGAATTTTTTCAACTTCAGGCATCCTGTCAAGTGAACGTTGTTGCACTTTCGGAAGTTCGTATTGGTTGTCCTCTTCCAACTCCAAGCCGTAGTGATGAAGGGCGAATCTTGGTTGCCTCGGCAGATATGAATTCTAGTGTCAATGGTGTTCCCGTTTGGGTAGAGGGAGTCGCCAACATTGGAGACAATGAGGTTGCTGTCACTCCTATGGGGCTAGCCGATATCCAACCGCCACTGCACTTTTCTTGGCGTCTTTCTCCTCCAATGCCAAATTCGCCCGCCCACCTATCTCATTGGCTCAGCCAACTTAATGTTGAGCCCGATGACGTTAGTACTTTATCAATCGTAATCCTGTGAAGGACCCCATTTATCCAATGTTTCATCTTATTTTCCATTAGACGAACCTTTCCTCCGGTATAGTGGTCACCGGCGTTGCAGCTGGACAGGTAAAGTTGCATTTGACCGTCTTCACGGAGGGTGGTTTAATGACGGGTCAACTGATATCGCGAGATTCCCATGGCACTTCACAACCAGTTAAACAACTCTCCGTCGAGATCAATTTTTCTGTTGTGCCTCGTCTGACCTTGCTCACTCCCCTTCGTCAAAACCCCCGCATCCTCGTCTCTCCCAACAGCCGGCTTCAGCTGAGTATTCCTTCCCATATGTAGGCTTAGTCTCTGATCTCTGTCTTGGCTTCTTTGAGTGATTACATCCGATCATGCTTTCTGCTACTTCAGCCTTGCAAATGGAGGTGTTCACTACTCTATCAAGTGTCCGAGTGATTCACCGGCGGATATGCTTCGGGTTACCCCTAGTGGCCTTCTTGAGTCTGGTGTCCGCGGTCGTTGCAATGCCTGGTCGGATTGGCGATTGAGTCAGTGTCGTTGCCACCTGCGTGTGGACTACCGCCCCACCTCAAGCAACACAGAGCACAATGAGCACGGTAGTCAGTCTCTTGGTCTCGACGTAGTTGTCAAAGCACCTCTCTACGTACTTGCTTTGGCACAATCTGGATCCCATAGCTTGCCGAAAGGCCCCAGTGGTGTTCCCTTTGGGGGACCATATCCCATTACGTTATCCTTTCATGATGAAATCGGCGAAAGGTTTGATGCTGTCGCGGGTAGGCAAAACCTCAGTCATCCCCTCATTCACGTAAAACTTGTTAACACTTTGGGCAATTGTAGAGGATTTGCTTTCCCTACGCCTGAACAAGCATCGTTCCGGTCTTCTCGACTATTCCATCGTGAGTGGTGGAAGTAGCTCTTACTCTCCGATCGGGCGCTTAATGTTGCGACTCACTCCACCACTTCACACCGACTTGAGCTCACTACAGGCTGCAACGACTCTGGAATTGGTGCATGATCCGCCTCCAAGAGCAGATGAATCGGCTATCCTTGCACCGAGTTATCTGACTTTCCCCATTGGTCCCGTACTAGATGTTCACGGTACTCGGGAATTTATCGTCGGTCAGTGGGCCTGCTTGCCTCTTCTTCCACAGGGTTTGTTTCAGTTCTGCATTGCTTTTCAAGAACAGTTTGGTAGTTTTAAACATACGCCTTTGTGGCTGTCAGCTCTTTACATTTTATGCCACGGACCATATTCTCATTCGTGGGTTTAAATTGAAATCAGCAAGACGATTTAATAAATCGAATGTTCCAAGTTCCAAAATCGTGTCGTTCTTTTCCTCCTCAGGAGATGGAGTTTGGTCCTCGAGTGATCCAAATCTTCTGTGGATTGATAACCACTCGAAGTTCATGCTTCCCTTGCGAGCAGGTCATGTGCATTTGCAGTTCACTCCAAGCACTGAGACTGGGACGCCGACCTCTCTCCTGGGAAAGTTGATCCTGAACAGTATTTGTTCAAAATCGGGTGCGCATCCTCATTCGAGGCCTTCCACATCGTCGGTCATGCCCGTTGGATTGGAATTGACTCAGGAGGTTCCCATTCATTTCGTACTTGCTCCTGCTGCTTCTGCCGCCAATAGGTACGATTTGCTCTTTTACCGAAAACAAAAGCTGTCACACGAATCCTTTCGTACTGACACTTTGTTGTGGATTCATTTAAAAACAGGACTTGTTTTCTGGCTGCATATCGTTTAACTTCTCTGCTTTTCCCTCAAGCTCGTGTGCTAGTACCGTGGCGTGGTCCGTACTCTCTGAAATTTCCCCTCTGACGTGCTCGGCTCGCCTGGAATTGGGTGGCAATGAAAGAGATCCAACGCGGTGGGTGTCCCTTCCAAACTGGTTGCGCGGTCTACTATTGGCTGAACGCTACGATAGCGCACTGAGCTTAATAGTTGAACCAGATCTCATGGCTGCGCTATCGAACCCTGTCGTACAGTCTACCGATTTCCGTACCAAACTGATACCCTCAGTCATGGAAGAGGGAGCATGGATATGCGTCGTTAGACCTGGTGATCCAGGCGACTATTCTCGGCTAGCGGTTCTTCCTTATGGATCGCGTCTTGTAGTTGAAGCTAAAGGAAACTGCGGAGCAGCATCTGATGGTGTAGCCAAAGAAGTCATCATCAGGTCCGAATTGACTTTGGCTCCCGCCTTCCGAGTTCTTGTTCCGTTACTGCACCTAAGCAATCCGGGTACAGTTATAGCTGTGGCTTATCTCGAAGTCTTTTTGAAATGTTCACTCATATTTGTGTGAAATATTTTTCCAATGATCTCAGAACCTCTGACGCTTACCCCTCGGACACCAGTAGCGAACCTTCTTGTCTTCATCCCTCCGGCCACCCTTGCACAAATAGAGTTCGGGGCTAATACGGAGCAGACTCTAAAGGCACGGTCACAGCGACCCGACTTGGTGGCCATAGCCTCCGCTCCGCGACCCGTCTACTCCGTTAGTCATGTAAAGGCTGCTCTTGATCACATGGCTAATGAACAAGGCTACTCCGGCGGAATGGGTACCTTGTTTCGCAATTTGAGCCTGATGATGGAAAATGAGGCTCAAGCCTCTCTGGAGCAGGCATTCGGTAATGGACTTATATGGACCATTGGTGTCAGGTCACTTCCTACCAAAGCAGGTAAAATTGGCAGCCATTTAGGTGTTTTAACTATAATTTGGTAAAGCCATTTATTATTATTAAAGGCATTCATTTTCAAGTGTTGGATGTTTTTTTAATGCATTTGCATCAGAATCAACGCAATACATATGACTACGATGTAAAAATCGACTCTTATTTAAGCCTCTGTTTCGAATGATGCTGTGTAATTAGCCGTTGAGGCCAATGTGGAGGTCGTGTTGAGCCTCAAGGTGACGGGCCAGCATGTGTCCGTGCCGATTCACGTCCAGACGCGTAGCCTTCGAGCCGGCGACTTGCCTGAGATCGGCAGCGATTTTGAGAACGAGGAAAAGGGCTACGGACCATCTAATGATATCTTTTGGATCAACCTCTCATGGTTTAATCTCCTTCTCCTCATCTTCCTTACCATCCTGCTCTTACTTGCTTGTGAGTCTCAAATCGCGCCTGAGTAATGAGCGCCCCAAAATAATGTAATCCTGTCAAATATTGCGTTTACAGCTCACGTAGTGACACGCAGCCTCAGTGGTGCTGAACTCGGAAGTGCCGATGAGAGGAATCTTCCCCCACTGCCCAACACCGAAGATGCATCTAGCCACGGAAGCCTACGATTGTGGAGTCAGGGCTATGGGCTGCACGGTAGGGGAAACCCCCCCCAGCCAACGCACATATCACCCAAGTTCCGCACCCCAGCTGACTCCGCTTCATCGCCCTTTGGCGACACCCTCGGACTCTATAGTGGGGAACAAGTCGGTGTTACCGGTAGACCCAGAGGTGTTTCTTCACCCTCACGTCTGCGCGAGGCATTTGACAATAGTCTCTAAGATAGTCTACATTCTGTGTCATGCCTGCACCGCTGCCTTTGGTAAATGGCTTCAGCATTTCAGCACTTTGTATTACTACGTCCACCAATTTTATATCGTGCTTCTGTTTTCCAAAGACAATGTTTATAATATTCTGGTTTTGCCATCGTCTGTGTATAATGAAGGACTCGTCTTCTAACAGGCTTGATATGCGGCACGCGCGTCTGCATTCAGATGGTAACTGCAAACAAGTTCAGGCATCTCGTGGTGAACTTGGTGCACTAGCAAATGCAATAATGTTTTAATAACCTGGTACATTCGCACACTGCGTTTTTTGGAAAAGTTAATCGCCTAACCGCTTCATAATCCTCATTATAAACTAAAGAAATTACGCTTTTGAGCTTTTAAAAGTGAAGTTAATCTTCGTTCTACAAAAGAGGGTAGAGTATCTCAAATTCCTGAAGAGGCTAGGGAGGCTTCCAGCTGCGCCATATCATAGCGATTGAGTCGCTCACCGATGTAGGCATTACGGAAACCACTAGGCAAGGAGAGAAAGTGAGCAGTCCTCGCATCAGGTACTACAAACATCCCGGCCAATTCGGTCACTGCTATGTTAAAAACACATGCGCCCTGAGAAGCGGAAAACTCCTGGTAAGTCTTGGTCCCATACACTGACCGCCGCGGCCACAGCACCACCCGCAAAGCACCCGTAGCACTGCGTGCTGCAAAGAGGTTGTGAGCTATCTTCATTTCCTGGCATCGCTCGACAAGATTCCAGAGTCGTCTAAAGGAGATCACCATCCCCAAAGTTTCTAAGCCTTACCCAAATGACGTCTGAAGTTCGTCCACATTGTGAAATTCTAAGACGAAATTGTCCACCGGATGCGATTCAAGCTCATTATAAAAAGGGAGGGAAGCTTTCTTTCGGATGGGCTAAAGTTTTATGGTAATTTTCCCTTCACACTCACGCATGTCGATGCAAATAAGTGATGAGTGGTGTACCAGAGGTGAAAATGCAAGTGATTTAGGGACGCATGAGCAAGTAAACTGTTAAACCCAAGGCACAGGTACCTGCGAGTTGGGTTCAGCGATCCTAATCGGACCTACTCATTTGAAGACAGGAGAACAGTTTGCAAAGCTAGCTGAAGGGAGGATCTCCTCAAAACCTAAAAAATGGACTCGTTGTCAAACTTGTGGCCACCTGGTTCAGTAGCTTTCCAGGATCAGGAATGATGAGTGAGTGCCCCATCATGAAGGGACTTGTATTCGCAACAACAAGACTACACTATGAAAAGTAATTAGGAATAGGTAAAACTTTACGCAATCGCTCAAGTTTCGGAAGCTTATTTGAAAGAGTCTCTCCGAAGGGTCTACCTTAGTGAAATTGAAGTCCTCTACGCTGCAGGGCTCGTCAATTGCCCAAAATGAGGAGGGTTGCCTGCGATTGCAAAAACGATTTTTTAGAATCTGAGGTGAATCGGCACACCGAGTATTACCAGGACGAGTATGCTCATCGAGTCTGCATCAATGATCCTCGTATTTGAAGCACTACCAAGCTTATAGTTTAGGACTCCTCCATCGACGGCTGCTGCCCATGTTGACTTTAAAATCTTATCAAACTAGACACAGCGAAAAAGAAAAAAGTAAAAGGAGAGTACCTCACTCTCCGCACTAGTAAGATCCCAAACCAGTTCGTTCAAGGAATACTTCAAATGTCTTAAGACCGACATTGACTACAAATAATGCACAAGCATGGAGGGAAAACTCGCAGCTGGCGCCGTGTAGAGCAAATAGATAAAGAATTAAGCAGCCCAAAATCTCAGTAAGAGATAGTTGTTGTTACTAACATCAAAAATTTAGGTCGTAAAAAGATGGATAAACAAAGTATATCTGTTATTTTCAACCACTGTCATACTTTGCTTAGGTGACCACCTGACGGCTGCTTTAAGAATGGTCTGAAATGGCCTTTGGGCCACACTCAGGCCTAATGCATTTGTCCTCCCGGATTACATGCATTTCGCCCTATGTTTTGTCTCCTTTTTCACCACAGCAAGTCTGTTGACGCTATAATAAATTTCTTGAGGCAGATATTATCTAGCCGCCTGCCTAAATGAATTAGATTAAGACGCATGCTGCGTGTGCTGAATATAACAGCCTTCGAGGCAAAACAAAATCATGTTCTTCCTTTCACTCTAACGGGAACATGCAAAGCTGTCACTCTAATTCCAACATCTAGTAATGCAGTCTGCAGTCGCCAAGCCGTTGCAAACTAGACCCAGGTTTCCACCATTTGCGACAAATTCTTGTAATGCGAATGAAGTGCATGTGTAGTGAAAGAAAAACTATAGATCTTTACAAGGAAGAACCTGATTCAAGGTTTCCTAATAATATCCGTGTACAGATATTCGCAGCGTGAATGTACCTAATTTAACCCTTTGACCATTCGTCCCTGACATGGTGGACTAACCTGTAGGTCAAGCCGAAGCCTTGCTCCACCAATTGCCTTTTTCTACCTAATGGGCAATCTCAGATCGTTACACTAAAAGTAACTGAATGCAAAGCCTAGCTTAATTGCCGCTTGCATCCTAATCAGTAACAAGCGCGGAATTCTGTATTGTAAAAGAGGGAAGAAGAATTCTCACTCCTCAACGACAGAAGAGTGGTGAATGACGGGCCTGTAGCGTTCTGAGGCTTCCCACTATTTTGGAAAAAGCCGTTAATTTGGGTTGAATATATATTGGTGTAGCCATTGTAATTCTTTTACCCTACAAGTTTGAATGCATTAGTTTATCCATTTGGCCACCTGTAATACTAACGGTTATTTTGATAGCTGTCGTGCCCTTGCACGCGTGAAATGGTCACCGACTAGAACACTTTTGGCCCAGCTTAATATCATCCTTTCCTCATTTGAACGTTTGGGACGTTGCTATAAGCGCTAAAATGTTTCCTTTTTCTTGGTCTATAGATAAATCTCAGCGACCTTACTTATTACAATATTGATCCTCAATACTTTACCTATTGGTCAGTGCATTAGTGCGAACACTGATGACCATCTAGCTTATCAAATGCACCTACGCTCAACTCTCCTCTGCCTGTCTAAACAAAGTATACGGTATTTAGTTTACCTGGGAAGTCTTGGAAAGTTGAAATATTTCTTAAGCAGGGTTAAAATTTTGCAAATCAGTCAACCTTGGCTCTGCTGGAGCGAATAGGAAGTCAAAAACCAAATAGTTAAAGAAGCCTCGAAAGCATTGTAATATTGTACACACTGCAGTTACTGCATGTCTATCGTCTGGTCTCTGGTTCTCAGACTTTAAGAGGAAGTTGGTTGTGGACGTTTTATTAGGCATCTCTGTAAGAAGGATAGAGGAATAAAATGCAGATGTGATGAGCAGGAGATGTCAATCGCAGGGAGGCTCCTTGTCGACCTCGCGCGAGTGATCCACGTTTCCAATTGGTTTCCGCCTCTCTCCTATAAAAGTCAACTTAAACAACTTAAACTTAAACTTCTTGGAAACACGGGGTTTGTTGGCCTACTTGAAGTTGTAGGGGTTTGTCTTTTACTTCTCCGTCTCGTTTACTACACCATTTACTACCGTTTTGTCAATTTGTGAAAGGCTTATTCTAGGCTAAAGACAAGGGAAGAAAGATAGCGCTTTTAGAGTTGGAGTGTTACTGGGTCTTTATCTACGCCAAAGACATCATCTTGGCCCTTAAGAACAGATTTTGAGTTGTGATCGCTTCTCTCGAGATCGTGATGCTTTGGTAAACTGGCACAGGTACAAATAAACATCCTCTTTATTGATGATAATTCTCGGTATGTCACCTGTGCTCTTGACAGTTTTTGCCGAATTACGTTAAGAACATTTGCTTGAAATTTTTCTGCATATTGTGTTTGTTTGTTTAAATCTGCGGTGAGTCTTTTATCGAATCTTCTGTGGGTTATGCCGCTTCATGAGTGTCAAATGATGTTTTGGGACTTTTGAATGCTCTCTATTCTTAACAGGGTCATTGTGATCGATGACCCTACTGATTGCCAAATAGTTGAAGCTAACTTTTGTACTAGGTTTCTTTTTTCATTTTCTTTGTTCTATCCAGTGTGTGATATCGGATGTTTGTACCTAGCGGGATGCTCGGGTTGTATTTCGGTTCACGGCGGCTGATTTAGGGTGAGTTAGTGATGATGCGTTCATTTTGACAGCCAGGATTTTACTTTTACAAACACGGATCCCTCTCTCCAGTTAAAAACATACGAAATATTGTAGGTTTCGCGCACGACGGTATGCGTGTGTTGGGTTACGTGTTTGTAAGATGTAGAGCCGGTAATTGTGAAAAAGATTATGAGAGCTGATTGTATTTTTGTTATTACCTCGATAAGGAACCGTGGGTTTCGTTTTGTTTCAGGGAGGAGCTGTACATTCGGCGCTGACGGGAGTACCTGCGCGCCTTAAGCCAACTCTGTCGACGCGTTTGCGGCTCTTCGTTTGTATCATTTACCACTGCAGCTGTGCTACATATCATCTATTTAATTATCTGAACTTACTCTAAGTTCTTTGTTTTCTTCTGCCGACCAGCACCTGTCCTATGTCCGGTGCCCCGAAGCTCGGAGTCGTTTCTTGCCTCTGTACATGCGCAGTGTCCACTTGCACCTTCAGCTTTCAAGGTTTGGGTGTTCTGCAGTAGTCTGGGGTGGGGTCTCTGCTAATCGGTGTCAAGTTGTTTTGTATGCCGGTACTGCTCATTTGAGTCAAAGGTCCACGCTGGGTATTAAAGTCGGGTGTGAATGGCTTCCGGGTGCTCCTCGGTAGTCTGGTCGCTTGGTGGGCGCCGTCGGGTCGCGCCGGATCTGTGCATCCACGTGCTGTTCTGGCGGCTACACGTTGGGTGGTAGTGCTCTGTTTTGATCACGCTTTACTCTTAGCTGCTAATCTGCCCTGCTTTCGGCTTGCGCGATGTCGGTGGGGCTGTGGTGCGTTTGTCCCATAATGTGGCGGAGCTGTGCCAATCTACGTTGTTAGGCACCTGGTCATGGTTTAGGCTCTGGGGGCGCCCTTGTTCGGCCTCATGCTCATCCTGAGCGTCCGATAATGTTGGGTAGGTGCGGTCACCTTCGCTGATCCGTTGGGGACGCCACATGATTTTTGTTCCCTTGGGGGCGGTTAACCTTGAGGTTTTCAAAGCTCGGGTGTTCTGCTTTGTCTGTCAGGTGCTGTGCCGCTGAGAGTCACACTGCGTTCGGATTGGGCTTGCGCGTTCTTGCAGGGACTTGGAGTAGGTTAATTCAACAGAGCGCATTATGTGTCCTAGCGACGCAGCTGTTGGATTTAGCGAAGTCTTCTTGGGTGGGTGCTGAAATTTCTTGTCTTCGTCGGCCATCATCGCCTCGTGTTCCCTACGATTAAGCAAGTTTGGTAACATTGCCCGACCCCTACCCTTGGGTTCATGTGTTAGGGGTGTTAGCTTTGCATTTTTACGTCGCAGACGAGTTCGTATCTAGGGTTTAGTCGATTGGCTACCACGTGGGAACGTTTACAACTGCATTGATTTGGCTCTTGAGCGACGCTTTGTGTGAGGCGATGGCTAAAGTGCTTCAGATGAGACTCAACTCTCATCCCCATTATGGGGTGGGCCCTGCTGGTGGGGATTGGCAAGTTTCAAAATCCCTGATCTTAGCTGCCTTGGTTGGACGTGCAAGTTACCACTCGCAGTGAAAAGGGCTGACAGCTTTGACTCCTCAAACTTAACGCCACCACATTTCTATCGAGTATGCTTCAAAAATTATTCGGAAAACAGCAAAACACAAGTGACGATGACTGCTGTTCCATGACACAATCATTGGTTCTGCACTTTTAGTGAAGCAGATTGATTGCATCCCGGTTTTGGATTAATTCAAAGGGCCTAGTAACTCCAAACTCAAGAAAATTTTTATGATTAATCGTCTTCTATGGTTGTTCATTTGCATGCTGTCCGTTTTCGGGTTTGCAAACATGCATTCATCCAAACAGTCTGTTCGGTGGTAAATGCCCCAACTTTAGGAAGAGAGAAGATTAGTAATGGTCTGGCAGCATCACCGAGACCACGCTCACGAGCGTCAAGGAACTATGCCAAGGCTTTCCAAAAGCACGGTTGTCTGGACCCAACTTGTGGAAGCAGGTGTTTTGATGCATTCACTCACAAGTAAATGAGCCTTCAAAAGTAGCTTCTCCATTTCCAATTATCTTCAAACAGAATTTATGGCAAAGGTGTCATGATGATGTAGCAGTGATGATCTGCCATTTCACAAATTGCATGTTCAACAGCAGGAAATACTGCTGTTATGCACCCATCACCCTAAAGCTAATACCATGCTCAAAATCAAGGAATTCGAGTCGCCTATCCGAACCATGATTGAAGTTGTAGTCAGATCTCAAGTAGTTCTTGTTCTCAAATGATGTGCTACCTCTTTTTCGTGTGAAGTGCACAAAGCCATTTACACTGAAAGCTGCTGAATTTCCTTGCACAGTGAGAAATGAAGTCCTTGGCTAAAAAAAGGCACTGGCTGGGGATGTAGAGTTCAGCCGGTACGAGTGAGCGCTGTTTCCAACCAAGTGTCCAGCACTATGTCAAAACCGTCGATACCAAGTCTCCATTTTGCTGTAGTCTCTTCTACTTCTCTGTACCATGTGAATGCAGGACCAAGGGAAAGAAGGAAGTCATTAACAATACTCTAGTCCCTCTGTCATTTATGTAC